CCCCAAAACCCCAAAACCCCAAAACCCCTTAAGAAATAAAGATATTGAGTTAATAAAATATCTTAAATAATTTTTTTATTTAAACTCAAATATTCGTGTGGAGGTAAAGTCAGAAATAAACACTTCCCACTGGATAAAGTTGAGTATCTTGGGTGCTTTACTAAAAAGCTTTCAAAATTATTTCTTTTCCATTTTTATAAGTTCCTAAGTCGTATTCATATTTGCAAGGGACTTTTTTGTGTACTGCTCTATTTTTTGGTTGATCCATTGTATTTTATAATTTTTAAGAAGCCCATAACTCTGCATGAATTCCACTTGGTAGTAAAATGCATAACTAACACCAAAACCGATAAAATTTTGCACTAATAAGCCCAAAATATCCTATCCCAATCTTCTACTTCAAACCCAAATTCACAAAAACCCCAAAACCCCCTCACAACTATACCCATTCCAAACCCCCAAAACCCGACCAAATCCTCAATATCTTCCCAAAACCCCTCCACTATCACCCAATTTTCCTTCCTGCTCAACCTATAGTTCCCAATTCCCCAATCCCAGTCAGCTATTTCCCAGCTAAGAAGTAGCCTGTACCAGCCAGCACTTGCTGGCTGGAAGGAGCTTAGGCTTAGGCTTAGGAGAGGTAGGAATGGGGGGATGAAGGATTTGGAGCAAGGGTTGGGAAGAAGGTGATTGGATGGGAGAGGGGGTTAGGGATTGGAGGGGGAGAGATAGATTAGGAATTGGGGAGAAAGAACTTGTTTGGAGTATGAAGAAGGGGAATTATGGAAGTTTGTGGTGGTATTGTGAGATTTTTGTTGTATGGTTAAAAGTTGGGGTTAGAGGGTTTTGGTGGGTGTTTTAAATTGCTATCATAAGTAAGGATGGATGAAAGGATAAGGAAGAAGCTATAGATATCTCAAAGAATCCTTTAGAATACTCCTTAAAATTTTGAATTTGATTTTTTTCATCTTTGCTTGTTTTGATCTTTGTTGGTGATAACTATTCTTGTGGTTCAAAAGTTTGACCAATCCAGCTAATTCAATTGTTATAATCTCTACAGGGGTTTTGGGGTTTTGGGGTTTTGGGG